GCCCTGTCACCTTCCCCTGTCATCTGCCCCTGGCACCTCTCGGTACCCCTGGGTACCCTGGGCCTGTTGCCTTCACCTGGGCACCCCCAACCCTGTCACCTGCCCCGGGCACCCCCAGGTGCTCTCAGGTACCCCCAGCCCCGTCACCGCCCTGTCACCTTCCCCTGTCATCTGCCCCTGGCACCTCTCGGTACCCCTGGGTACCCTGGGCCTGTTGCCTTCACCTGGGCACCCCCAACCCTGTCACCTGCCCCGGGGACCTCTGGACACCCCCAGCCCTGTCACCTTCCTTAGTTACCCGAGGTACTCCCAGCCCTGTCACCTGGACAGCTGCAGCCTTGCTACTTTCTGTCACCTCCCCGCTCCCCCTGCCCTGTCACCTGCCCCGGGCACCCCCAGGTGCTCTCAGGTACCCCCAGCCCTGTCACAGCCCTGTCACCTTCCCCTGTTGTCCCCCAGCCCTGTCACCCCCTGTCACCCCCCGCAGCCCAGTCAAATTCGGTCCCTGTCCCCCCGTGTCGGGGACCGGCCACCGGCTGCCACAGCAACCTCCGTGCTCCGAGTGCCCCCCGTCCCCTCCCGTGGGACAGGGGGACGGATCCCCCACGGACACATCCCGGCCCAGGGTCAGGGAGAGCCCCCTGACCCCCCGAGGGTGGCTCCGAGTGCCCATGTCCCCCGTGTCCCCTCTGTCCCCACAGATGCCGAGGTGGTGCTGGACGGTGACAACAAACCCCTGCCCGTGGGGGACTTCACTGCCCCCCACCTGCCCCACTCCCAGGGGGCAAAGCCACTGCCCCCAGGGGCCAAGAGGTGGGCAGGGGACAGGGGGGACAAAGCCACTGCCACTGGGGACCAGGAGGCGGGGAGGGGACAGGAGGGGACAAAGGCACTGCCCCCAGGGACCAGGAGGTGGGTGGGGAACAGAAAGGGGACAGTGGGGGAACAAGGAGTGGGGCAGGAGGAAGAGGGGGACGGGAGGGGACAAAGGCACTGCCCCCAGGGACCGGGAGGTGGGTGAGGGTTGGGGGATTACTCGAGGTGGGGGCAAGGGGGGGACAGGAGCAGGAAGAGGAGGGGGACAGGAAGGGAAGGAGGGGGAGAAGAGGTGGCAGGAGTGGGACAAGGAGAGGAAGAGGAGGGAGGACAGGAGGTGGCAGGGGAGGGACAGCTGTGCCATGGCAGGGCTGGGGGTGTGTGTGCCTGTGCTCAGCCCCGTGTCCCTGTGCCCGTGTGCCCAGGCTGGCGTTCCTGCGCTGGGAATTCCCGCAGTTCAGCTCGCGGGGCCGGGAGCTGCTGGGCCGGGGGGCCCTGGCGCGGCGGCACCTGCGCAGGGCCGGCTTCCTGCTGGTGGAGGTGAGCTGGGAACGCTGGCAGCGGGAATGCTGGGCTGGCAGTGCTGGGCTGGGCACCCCCGGGCCCCCTGTGTGTACCCACAGTGCCAGGGCCACCGCTGACCTGTCCCCCTGTGCCACATCCACACGGCACTTAAACCCCCCCAGCCCTCTCCAGGAGGAACGTTCTGAAAACATTCCCCAAATCCTCCCCAAACGCCACCTGAACGTCCCCAGGTGCCATCTGAGCCAATTCCCTCTTGGGAGCAGAGCCTGACCCCCACCCTGGGAGGTGCCCCCAGGACTCAGGTGTGGCCTCACCTGTGCCCGGCCCAGGGCACAGTCCCTGTGGCCACACCCTGGTGACACCAGCCGGGTGCCATCGCCCACCTGGGCACACCTGGTTCCGTGGGGATGGAGGCACAGACACCTCTGGGGGGCTGCCAGCTCCTCCCTCCCCAGGGCTCAGCGGGGATGAGCCGCTGTGATCCCCCCGGGCCACCTGCCAGGTGACAGGGGGGTGACAGGGAGGTGACACAGACGAGCTCTTAGAGCTGATCCCACGGGGTCAGCCAGGATTAAACCCCCAGGGTAATTATAGCTCTGGGGGGGGGTGACAGCCACGTGTCACCCCCCAGTGTCACTGTCAGCCCCTGGTATCGCTGTCACCCCCCCCCAGCATCACCGTCTCCCCTGGGTGGGTGGTGGGATCCTCCAGGTGGGCACTGGGACCCTCCAGGTGGGTGTTGAGATCTCCCTGGGCAGGCACTGGGACCCCCAGGGGGGTGCTGGGCCCCCGGGGATCAGGACATGCTGGGGGCACAGCTGGGCCCCCCAGGTGGGTGCCGTGGGACAGGCGGGCCCAGCACAGGGTGGGGACAGCCCTGGACCCCATGGCTCCTGTCACCCCTTCCCCCCCAGGTGCCCCACTACGAGTTCCTGGAGCTGAAGCTGGAGCGGCAGCGCGTGTCCTACCTGAGGGACAAGGTGGCCAAGGCCGTGGCCAGCGACATGGCCACCGACACGGCCCCCGACACGGCCGCCTAGCCCTGCCCGTGGCCACCTCACCCGGCCAGAGGGCCGTGTCACTGTGCCAGGGTGACCAGGTCACCACGCCGAGGTCACCGGGTCACCACGCCGAGGTGGCCGAGTCGCCGTGCCCAGGTGGCCACGTCACCACTCTGAGGTGGCCACATCACTGGGTCACTGTGCCCAGGTGGGGCCAGGTGGCCACAGCGAGGTCACCGTGTCCCCAAGTGGCTCCAGCATCGCTGCTCTGTGTCACAAACGGCTCAAATAAACCCCAAATGTACAGGGACGGTGGCTGGGGCACGGTGACATTGGGGACGGGTGGCATTGGGGGTGGGTGGCATTGGGGATGGGTGGCATTGGGGACAGGTGGCATTGGGGACGGGTGATGTTGGGGATGGGTGATGTTGGGGATGGGTGACATTGGGGACAGGTGGCATTGGGGACGGGTGGCATTGGGGACAGGTGGCATTGGGGATGGGTGGCATTGGGGACAGGTGGCATTGGGGACGGGTGATGTTGGGGATGGGTGATGTTGGGGATGGGTGACATTGGGGATGGGTGGCATTGGGGACGGGTGGCATTGGGGATGGGTGGCATTGGGGACGGGTGGCATTGGGGGTGGGTGGCATTGGGGGTGGGTGGCATAGAGGCCAGTTGGCATCAGTGCCAGGTGACAGTGGAGCTGAGTGACATTGGGGCCAGGTGACATCAATGACAGGAGACATCAGTGCCAGTGGGTATCAGGGTGAAGTGACCTTGGGGCCAGGTGACATCGGGGATGGGTGACCTTGGGGCCAGGTGACATCACTGCCAGTGTTGGTGGCACGTGGCAGTGCCCGCTCCTGGGTGGGGCCCGCCCCCCGTGTCCCCCCCCCGCGTTCCATCCCCCTCTCCCCGTGCCCGGGGCCGCCGGTCTGAGCCGGGATCGGGATCAGGAGCCACCTGGCCTTTATTCCCGATTATCCCGGGATTGTCCCCGAGGGGACAGGGATGGGGCCAGGGCCGAGGAGCAGCGGCAGAGGGGAGGGGGCACCGAGGGGCACCGGGGTTTGGGGGGTTCTCTCCTGCGTGGAGCCCCCACGGTGTCCCGCGTCCCTCACGCCACGTGTCCCAGCACGGAGGTGGGGGGACAAGGTGGCTCGGGACAACCCTCGGGGGTGACGCCCCGGGGCCGGGAAGGGCTTTAGGGGCGGATTAGCGACCACCTGGCCCGGGACCCCTCTGGCCCCCGGGGGGACACGGCCCGGCTGGGGAGGGCACACAGTGACAGGGGGGGCACAGCCCGGCCACCCCGGGGGGACACACACGGTGACGGGGGGGGGGCCCGGCGGGGCCGGAGCTGCTGAGTCACCGCTGGGGCCGTGCCCGTGCCTGGCACCGGCAGCGCGGGCACGGCCTCGGTGCCAGCGCGGGGGGGACGGTGCCGGGGGGGTGACAGTACCCGGGGGGGTGACAGTGCCCGGGGGGGCCCTGGCAGCGCTCCGCGTGCCCGCGCCCCAGCTTCTCGCCCCCCCAGGTCCCTCGGGGGTGCTGTGGGGGTCCAGGCCGTGGGGTGACCGGGGCAGGGGGACCTGGGGGTGTCCGATGCCTCCTGGGCATCACCCCCCTCCCACCCCGCTGTCCGGGGGGTCGTGTGTGTCCCCCCCAAGGGACCCCTCCTCATCCTCCTCCCCATCCTCAGGGAGACGGGGAGGGGAAGAGCCGTTCCCATGGCAACGCGCGTCCTCTGCCGTCCCCCCCATCCCGCACCCCCGGCGGTGACAGACGGGGGGGACACGCCGGTCCGTGTGTCCCCCCTCCCCCGCCGTGTCACCACACACGCGCAGACGCTTTTAGGGGGGCTCCGCCCTGCGCGTCCCCTCCAACCCCCCCCAGGACCGCGCGGGAGGCTCATCCCCCTTTTTAAGGACAAAACTCCACTGCGCGGGGGGAGCTGAGGCTGGACCCCCCATCCGGCCCCCCCATCCCGGAGCTGACGGACACGCCACGTCCCCCCCCCGGTGTCACCACACACACGCAGACGCTTTTCGGGGGGTTCCCCCCGGTGTCCCCACGCCAAATCCCCCCAGGACACCGGGGATGCTCAACCCCCTCTTCTAAGGGACAAAATCCCACTCCGGGAGGGGACACCGAGGCCGGGCCCCCCTTCCGACGCCCCCACGTCTCCCCGCTCTGCTGCCGCCACACACGCGCAGACGCTTTCAGGGGGGCTCCGCCCTGCGTGTCCCCCCCCAGTCCCCGCAGGACCCCGCGGGAGGCTCATCCCCCTTTTTTTAAGAGACAAAGTGGGGGAAACTGAGGCCAGGCCCCGCCCCCTTCCCCCCCCCGAGCTGATGCAAGCGCTGGGTGGGCCCTGAGCCCCCCCGACCCCCCTCCCGCCGCAGCGCCCTCCGGCACAAGCCCCGTATCGCGACAGAGCGGGCCGGGCGGGCCGCGATTGCCGCTGACATCAGCGGGGTGCCGGGGCCGAGCCCCCCCGCGCCCCCCCCGCCCCCGCCCCCGCCCCGCTGATGCTCCGGCGCTGCCGCCGCAGCCGCGTCCGCCCGAGCGGGGGGAGCGGGGGGGGGCGGCGGGGGGGGCCGCGCCGGGGGGGGCCGCGGGCAGCGCCGACAC